ATGCCTATTACTTGTGGTTGTATGTACCAAATAATTGTTTGATGTTATTGAATGTGCCACATTATTTGAACTGTATAGTATAGACTCCTGCAGTCGCCAGTCGCCACTATTATTAATATTTTTAATGTTTATAGAAACACTGATCTACTGTAAATTTACTACTGTAAAGCATCATGTTGTTAATATCATAGTAATCTTAATTGCTGAACTGTTTGACTGATAATGAAATAGAACTGAACCTCAGTCCATTCATCTTCAGGGAATACTATCTGTTTACTGTAATGCATCTACTATCCATGAATGCATACAGTAACCACATTCTAAAAGATAATATCTAAACTCTGCCCTTAGTGGTTTTATGAAAATGGCTTCCAATGGGGAGCAAGATGAAGATGCGTCTCCTCCGGTTGCTCTAGTCACTGGTGCTTCTGGTTTCATTGCATCACACATAGTCCAACAACTCCTCAAAGCTGGTAATGTTCGTGTAAGAGGTACAGTCCGGTCTTTAAAGACAGAGGAGAAGGTCGTCCCGTTGCTAGGAATGGTCCCTGACGCTCGCTATCCTCTTGAGCTAGTTGAGGCTGAGCTCTTAGATGAAGAGTGTTGGATCGAGGCTCTGAGAGGAGTTACATACGTTTATCATGTTGCTTCGCCTGTTCTTATGTTTGAGAAGGAAGAAACGCTCGTCCGTCAGGCAGTCCAGGGAACTCTTAATGTCCTCAAGGCCTCAGTGGCTGCAGGGACTGTAAAGAGATTCGTATTCACTTCTTCTTTATCAGCTGTTGTTGTCAGTGATCACCTCAACGACCCCACGTACACATACACAGAGTCTGATTGGTCCGTTGAAGGAATGTGTGATGGCTATGAAAAGAGTAAGCTCCTTGCTGAAAGAGCTGCTCTCGACTTCATGTCAAAACTAGACGACGATAAAAAGTTTGAGCTCTCTGTTATTAATCCAGGTGCTGCTATGGGCCCGGTGTTAACCAACGTTTGTTCTTCGACAGCTATACTTATTGATCAGCTACTCTCAGGCAAGATGCCCGTATTGGCGGAAGTATCTTTTCCCATGATTGATGTAAGAGATGTTGCTGCTGCCCACATTCGTGCAATGGAATTAGATGGAGCAGCAGGTCAACGTTATGTAGTATCAGGGGAGCCATTGTGGATGAAAGACTTAGCTGACGTCATTCGAACAGAGTTTGAGCCTCAAGGCTATAGTATTGCATCTCGTGTATTGCCTAAAGGAATAGTGTGGGCAATGAAATTTGTGAGTGCAAAAATGAAATATTTGTATAGACAAATCGGCCTAACACTCAGAACTGACTGCAGTAAAGCGAAGAATGAGTTAGGAATCGATGTAACTGCACGTGATATCAATCAATGTATCATTGAGGGTTGCTATAGCTTGATTGAGAGAGGACTGGTTGATAGGAAACCAGGCTACAAAGGGGCTGCCTTATCAAGCTTGAATCAACCAATAGAGGAACCAGATAAAGTTACTAGTAAAGAAGAGAAGGAGAAAAGGGAGGAGGAGGAGGAGGAGAAAGGAAATGAAAGTAAAGAGGGTGAAAAAGGAGCAGTTGAGCTTACAGTTCCACAAGGACAAGAAAGCCAAAATGAAGGCACAACAGATAGAAAAGTGGTGGAAGCAGTTGTTAGTATTGAGGCAGATGCTAATACTAACGAAAGCTCTGGACAACAGCTGAACCAAATTAAAAGCGACGAAGACATAACAGAGCAACAGTCACCAGTCACAGCAGAAGAAACAAATGATGAAGTAGCTGCTGGTAAAAAACACCAAGAAGAGGAAGAAGGGGTGGGACAAGAGGAGGCTAACAAAGAAGACAATGAAGCGACGAACGATTTAGATATTGTCAAAGAAGAAATAGAAGCAAAAGGAGAAGTAACTGCTGATGAAAAACACAGTGAGGAGCAAGAGGAGACTAAGGAAGAGGGTAACGAACCAACAAACAATTTAGATATTGTCAAAGAAGACATAAATGAGGAAGCTGATGTTACTACCACAGAAGCTCAAAAGGAAGGAGAGGATGACTAAGACACTACTACTTTTGACCATTTTTGTACATGTGTATATTAATTTCTAAATGCACACACACACACACACACATATGTACACTCACATACTCTGATAGAGACTAAATCCAAGCTGTTATTCTTGCTGCTATCCGCTTTTCTAAAAATTTGGTAATTGTCATTGATTGTAAAACTATGAGTGGCCTATGCTAGCATTGCTGCAATATCTTAACCTTAAATCAACCAGGTACCATCAGGCGTGAGCTGTTTATAGTATAATTGTCAC